CCGCCCCGCCCGCCGCACTGCCGCCCTGCGCCCGCCCCTCCTGTGCCAACCGGGCCGCGGCCGCGGCCGCGATTGGCTGGGCCGGCCGGCTCTGCCCTCCTCCCCGCCGCTTCCCCTGCCCCGTCGCAGCCCCAGGTCGGCAGCCGCAGCCATGAACCCGTTATTCGGGCCCAACCTCTTCCTCCTGCAGCAAGAGCAGCAGGGCTTGGCCGCCGCCGCGGATCCCGAGCCGCCGCCGCTCCCGCCGCTCCTCCTGCTCCCCCGCGAGCCCCAGGGGGACAGCCTCGACGGGGAGCTGGCCCCGCCGGCCTCCCTCGCCGCCGGGTCTCCCTTCCCGGCCCCACCGGCCGCCATGGCCCTCCGCAACGACCTGGGCTCCAACATCAACGTGCTGAAGACCCTCAACCTGCGCTTCCGATGCTTCTTGGCCAAGGTGCACGAGCTGGAGCGCCGCAACCGGCAGCTGGAAAAGCAGCTGCAGCAGGCCCTGGAGGAAGCCGGGGCCCGTCGGGGCAGCCTGCAGCGCCGAGACCAAGCCGTCCAGACCGGCTTCATCAGCCCCATCCGCCCGCTGGGGCTCGCGCTGGCCGCCGGCGGCAGCGGCGCTAGCAGCCGGCCTGTGGGACTGAGCGCCCCGTCGAGGGCGCTGAGCTCCCCCAGCTGCCACCACCCTGGGGCGCCGCTCACCCCCACCTCCTCGCAGCCTCCGTCCCTGCCCGGCAGCGTGTTCTCGTCCTCTTCCCGCTTCTTGCCGGGCACCATCTGGTCCTTCTCGCAGGCTCGCCGCCTGGGGCCCGGCCTGGAGACCACCCTGGTGCAGGGGCCCGGCGTCTCCTGGGTCCACCCGGACGGGGTGGGGGTGCAGATCGACACCATCACCCCCGAGATCCGGGCTCTCTACAACGTGCTGGCCAAGGTGAAGAGGGAGCGCGACGAGTACAAGCGCAGGTGAGGCGCGCAGCGACCCGGGGCTGTGAGCTCGGGAAAGGTGCCAGCTGCGGCACCCCCTGCCGGGAAGGCGGCAGCGGCCTCGACGCGCAGAGCCTCCGCTTTCGCCCTCGCAGGAGCCCCTGGCTTTGCCAAGGCGAGTCCTTTCCGCTCCTTGTCGGATGGGTCCCCGAAAGTGCGCAGCTGGCCCCTGCCAGCCTGCTGCTCTTGGCAGAGTCCGGCTGGTTGCCAGGGTGGGAGCCAAGGGGAGAGGGGCTCACGCTCCCAGACAAGGCGCTGACCATGAGGAGCAGCTTCTCTGTTCCCCGTGAAAGCCCAGACAGACGTTATGAGTGGGAGATTTTAGACTCCTGGCCCATGAAGACGAGAGTGAACTGCCGAGGGACAACCTCTTTTGCTTTTGAGCTTCTCTGAATTTGTATATTGCCAAATGTTATGCAATGGAAACTCATAATCCCCTTTGTGCAGATTCCATGGCGGGGTTCCACAGCAGCCGCATGGCCTGCTGTAAAGTGGAAAGGTGTCGGTGGGTGATGGTGGAGGGATTAAGCCCGAAGTGTGGCTGAGAACCATCACTTGGTGCTGCCTCTGATCCCTTACACTTCCTCTTCTGCTCCCCTCTGCCTGATTTCTGCCCCTGTCTTGAGCCTGTTTGGTGCCCTTTACGGTATCAGTTTGCACCCTCCCCTATCTTTGATGGAAGCGCCATACTGGATGAGTTCGATGTGAGCTCCCTGCTGCTGGCAGACGCTGGCTCAGCCAGTTTGGAAGCAGGGGGCAGGATGGAAGGTACAGAAACCCAACCCTTTGAAAGAGCTGTGTGCGCAAAATTATTAGTATTTGTAGTCACAACGTATTATTTATATAGTGCTGTCCATGCACATAAGCAAGAGACAGGCTCTTGGCATGAGGCACTTACTGTCCACATATAGATAGTTGCAAGAAGGAAAAAGGGATAGATGGACAGGTGTATTTTCATGTCCCTTTGGTTCATTTCTCCTAGAGAGGAGAGCTAAGGGCCATATGTTCCTCCCCCCCCCCCCCGACTTTTCATTAAACAAGAGCAGCATCAAGGTGGCTGATAACCAGAGATAAAGGCGCTCTCTCCAGCTAGGAATGCTCATCCTGGGCTTGCCTGTCATTCAGTTTGCCACCAGGTGAATCTGGAAGTTTTACTTATTTTATGGTGCAAGGATGTTGAACTTTTTTATTATTTATTAAACTTTTATATAAACAGTTGTTTTTGAGAGTACATTTGGCTAAAATAGCTTATCAAATCCTTATTGGAACATAAATAGAAACGTGAGGGTGGGGGGAAGGAGGAAGAGCTGCAGTGTCTGCAAAGTTCAAGGCTGATTAAATATACCACCACCAGAACTGCCTTCGCTAGTGTTGGGCTTTGGTGAAGAAAGCCAGGCTATGGAGGTCCGAAGTACTTTTCAGATCATCATGTCAAGGCTGGTAAAAGTCCAAGAACATGCAGAAAAATCCTTAACTCACAAAACACCTTAAATAATGAAATGGATAAAGCATGAACAGCTGCCAAGAAATACATTTTTCATGAGGCTGTTGCTGACTAAACTGATTTGAGCATGAAGCACGCTGGAGTGACTTCATATCTACAAATGAGCAAATTCACCCAACTTTTTTTTTCATACTGTTCATTCAGATAACCCAGGTAACCCACATTCAAAAACTGAGTATGGATGAGTCACTGTTGAACCATGGATTGTTAATGAAACATGGGTTATCATGTCACTCCAACAAATCATGGCTTGTTAATTACAAAGAAGTCATCATTTACCACCGAACAACCTAGAGGTTTTCTTCATGGGTTGTTTTATTTGTTTGTTTATTTTTTCATACCCTTTTATATTCCTAGGGAACAAACAATGGTTTGTTATTGTAGCTGCTTTCAGACAGCACAATAACTGGTTCTACAACCAGTTCAGTGACAACCTTCGAGTGTGGTCTAAACTCACGAGAGTCCTTGTGCATTTTCAAGAGAGTCCTTGTGATGCCCATGTATGTCTAGGTAGGAGATGGGCTCCCCGCTGCATATAGTGCTCAGCAGATGCCAGTTCCCTTTTTTTTGCATGTTTCACAAGCAGCATGAGAAGTTGCATATGTGTTTTTGCTGCCAGTACTCCCTTGTAACATGCAAAATTACTCTTGTAACACTTGTTACTAAGCCATAATCACTGGATAGAGAGGCTGAGCTACAGATACTCAAGAGTTGTTAGTATTACTCTGCTGTTTGGGTGAGGCATTGGATCCTGGCAATCTTAACTTTTGAAGCAGGATTACATGGACGTTGCCAGGTTGCGGGTGGAGTGAATTCCCAGTAGTGGGCTTGATTGTGCTGTGTACTCATTGGGCCTCAATGATGAGTAGAGGTGGAAAAGGAACAAGAAAGAGAAGCCAATATGACAGTACAATTGGAGCACCTTTGCAATGAGGATTAAGTCTATGGAATTTGTTTTGAAAAAAGACTATTGAAAGTCTTTAATAGATATGATGTGGGAGATTCGTAACTTGCTCTCTTTTGAACTTTAGCAACTGTAGGAGAAGGGGCTAGGGGAGACACGCTAGTGGAAGAGCTGGTTAAAATCACCCCACTCATTGCCACTGTTGTTCATCTCCAGAGAAAATGAATGGGCATGGATTCAGGATAAACAATGGAAGGATTTTAGCATGTAATTAAGGTACACTGCGCCAGAATGTGATGGTCACAGACTGTAAAAGGGACTTGGCAATTAAATAGGATTTATTTATTTATTATTAGCGCTTTTGCATACCATTCGCACTACCCAAATAGTTTACTATAAAAATTAACAAAAACCCAATACAACAAAACAGTACAACATAATATACATATTAAATATACGCCATAGCATGCCTGTCCTAAGCCAAAATAAAATACATAATTGAATAACAACAAACGACCCATGGTAATTCAATGACAGATACAGTATAAAATTGCAGAAATTTCCTTGTTAACAGTTAAAATACTTGGCAAACAAGGTTTTAGCCTGGCGCCGAAAAACAGAAAGACTGGTGCCAGGCATACCTCCGTGGGGAGCTGATTCCAAAATTGGGGTGCCACTACAGAGAAGGCCCTTCCCCTGGTGGACAGCATCCTTATATCTTTTAAAGGTGGCTCCTGGAGAAGGACCACAGTGGAAGATCTTAAGGTCCAGGTAGACATATATGGCAGGAGATGCTAGAGCTATCAGTGACAGTTAAACATGATCACTGAAGGGAAACGTCTTATTCACCAGCTGTAAGCTGCTGACCACCCGTTGCGGGGGTGGGGACAAACAATAGGAGAGGGCTTTTCCATTCATTCTCTGAAAAAGAGCTGCTCCCACAAAATACCCCAGCGAATTGCAAACCTTGGTTTGAAGGGCCCAACTTATGCATAGGTAAATGATGGCAGGACCTGTGTGTGTCCTTCAGTGATTGTGCCAACGTTGATTCATCCTGCTTCTTAGGACTGTTGTAAGAGTTTGTTCATCCTCTTGTGGCGAGGGTCTCTCCCCACTTTATTTTGTGTTGCATGTGTATGCCGCCCCATAGCCTGACGGCTCTCTGGGTGGCTCACAACACAAACCATTTCCAGGCATGAAAAGCACAAGAAGGAAGATCACTCTTCACATAGCTGCATCATAGGGGTGAGCAACTTGTAGCCTGTCACATGTTTCAGCTTACAGCTCCCATCGCCTTTGGCCATTGAGACAGCTGGCCAGGGCCAAAGAGAATCGTGGTCCCAACTCCCCAGCAGGCTGCATGTTCCCTTCCCTTGCTGTATCCGAACCAAGTGCTTTGACGGGTAGATTCCCACCCACTGAGCCCACGTGGCTTCTGGCAGAGACCCCCTGAGAGCATGGTGCATTTTGCCAATAGCCATAGTCATTAGATCTGGCAACCTGACTTTACAGCTGTTGTTGAAAGAAAGGCAGCATTTAAAAATGGACCAGTGTGCATGGAAGGAGAACAGCTTGGAGAGTTCAGAGCAGAGATGGTGCTGTTGCTTAATCCTTTCCCCACCTGCTGCCTCTCTGCTCCAGAGGTCCCCTTTGGGGCACTAAATGCATGTTTACGCTCCCAAACACATTGCTTGGAGCACTGCTGTGTGCGTGAGAGTGATTTGAAGGGGAAAAGTAGCAGATGAGAAAGGGCTCGAGCGGCACAAGTGGCACCTCATGCCTCCCCCACTCCAGATCACACCTTGTGGGGCATTCACAGTGTTTTGCATTCCGTATAACATTAGCCACTGTCCCTGTGGCATCTGGATCCAGAATCCCCTTATGTGGTGCCTGTGGCAGAAAATCACAATTCTCAATCCCCCCTCCTCACACAGCAAAATCTCCCCAAATATGTTCTTTCATGAGAGAGAGAAAAATCCAAGGAGGGGCTCAGTTTGCTGCTCCCGCTTCCTTATAGACTGACCCTGTCACTGCGTCCTTCAGAGCCGCCTAGCATACCATAATCGGGTGGGTGAAGCTTTTCCTGGTATGGAAAGAAACTGTTGGGAATCATTTTGCCTGTGCCTCACTATTCTTAAAAGTACAGGGAGGGGGCTGGTACAAAACAAAATGTGCCAAATCGGGTATCTGAAATATTTTGATGCCCGTCCCATCTGTGTGCCCAGAGAAAGTATATCTGTGGTGTGCAAGGCTGGCATCTATCGTGGCTCCAAAGATTGATAAGATGTTGCCTGCAAAGGTTTTTATGTGATTCGGGAAAGGGCTAAATAAATGTTAAGTATGTTCATTGACATGTGCACTTGACCATTTCAGGGCCAAGTAGTTACTGAAAGAGAAAGAGCGTGAACCACCAGCCTGGGGATGCTCCCCCCTCCCCTCCCCTCCCCTCCCCTCCTTCAGTTAACTCCTCAGTTGCAGCATCCTGAGGGAACCCTGAGCCCAAGTGGCATTTGGCGATCTCAGAGAGGGTGCTCGAATTCTCAAAAATGGCAAGCACACACACAGACAAGA